TATGGGCGGCCGACTCACGTTGCACGAGGAACGGGCCCAGGTACCGAGCCTCAACCTTGGGGGTGCCCTCCGTGAGCCGAGGATGGTCCCGAAGTATCTTCTTACACGTATGTGACAACCTCGATAAGTGGAAAAGCAGCTGTTGTTTAGACATGTTCTGACCGAAACCGAAGAGAGCCAATTCTTCATTCAAGATCTTCCGAAAATCTGATATTCCCAAGAAGTCCCTCCAGTGAAGTCCCAAAATCTGCTAAGATAACCTTATTCAAGTCGTCAGCGTACTTAATCAACGAGAGGTCTGCCCTGATGTCGCCCCACTGCGCGGTGAGATCCTCAGCACTTGGGTCCCGACTCCAGAGCTCTCGCCCCCATCCCAGGATCGGCCTGGAGAACGTGGCCAGAAACATGGCGACAATGTAGGGATCACCCATCGTCCCCCCCTGCTTCGGCTGAGCTGTGAATCGGGCCCCGCTCGTCGGGAGTTCAATCACGGAGTTCCGATAGCGCTGGCGACATACTGCAACATCGTGGTCCGCACAATGTATACCTACGGTAGTGTCCATCGACTCGTGCGTGCTGCTCGCAAATGCATTCGACATGTCTTTCATACATATGCAAACAGTTCTTGACGCCGCTCGTAAACGCCACATCGTACACTTAGATATAAGTACTGCGTTCTCACGCCGTCGGCCCCGTACAAACCCGCGGTCCTGGATAGAGGGCGTTGGTCGCAACTTCTTCGAATCATATCCTTTCCCTATCGTCGGGAGCACATGCACGACACGCTTGCCCAAAGGGCCCACCATCAACGACTTCGGGAGCGCCGCGGCCTGACTGCGGTGCCAGTACAGAGGGGGCAATGCTATGCCGTCGAATCTTCAAGAGTCCAACGTGCAAGAGGAACCACAGGGTCTTGTTGTCGGGGGGGTCCTCGCTCGCGCCCACGCCTAGGTTCTGCTGCGTTCGCCACCGAGGAAAGAGACACATATGCCAGAGTTCGAGAGGGGCCGTGCCCTCTGGGACCACACGCCTCTTGGGCGCGTCCCTGAAATAAGAACGAAGGTTCTGGACAGTCTTAACTAAGGAGGTAAGCTAAGCTCGGAGTCGTCGATCTCGTAATCGTACGTCTCGCCCTCCCTCTCAGCTCTCCACTCATCTCAGACGATCGGTTCAACCTGCATGCCGCCCTCGCTGCCAGGTTTCTGCCACACGTGGAGCCAGTCCTCACCATCTGGGGGCGCACCGGTGGCCAATCGTGCATCTCGACGTTTCGGCCCATGCCGACAACGAGCAGCACGACGGGAGGCTTTCATCGCCTCCGCGGCACGCCTCCTGGCCCAACATTCACTGGCTTCCTGGAGCAATCTGGCACGATACTGACGCAGGTGTTGCCGACGTTCCTTGCGGAGCTGGGCTGAGAGTATCAACCGATGGTAGCACACGAAGTCTACTCGGGATTGTTCGAAAAGAATTGATAACCTTGATTATCGACCGTATGAAACGCAACGCAACCTTTTACCTGACTCAAGGGCCCCTGAACATCAAACGGCGATGGTACATGGCAATCGTATTGCAACGCTGCAAGCAATACTTCACATCTGTGCTAATCTGCATACACACTGATAAGAATAAACACTACACAAACTCGATAGAACAAGGGTGATATCGACACGGGCGGAAAAAGGAGTTAGCACCGAGACTTCCCCAGCAATGCAGGGCAATGGCGAACAGAAAACATTTCGATATAGGTTTTAGATAGGTTCAAAAGTAGGTTCGGGAGATAGGTTCGCAAGCATAGTAGGTTCCAGGAAGAAGGTGCAACGCGCGGGGAAAACGTGTCATCGGGCAGATAGCCTCCCGTCACTGGGTTTGCCAAAGCGCGTCGGCGCAAATGCCGCGGGCAGCTAAGTTGGCGAAGCGAATTCGCCAAACTAGCCCTGGCGAGTGCACCCGGGGACGTTCCCTGGCCGCGGTAACCTCGCCAAGAAGGTTTGCAATGAAAAACGGCGTCAGGGCTGCATTTCAGGCAGGGGCCGCGACACTTTTCGCGCGATGCACCCTCGGGCACTAAACATAGAAAATTAACGAGAGCGGCTGCGGAGAGAAGACCTCCGAAAACACGACCCGCCAGAAAAGCAGTCACGACGATGGGCGACCCAAAAATCAATTGGGGCAGCCCCAGCAACTGGCACGGCGAACAACGCAACTCAAGGAATCCCGGACAAGCCGGGCCGCCACCAACAATCACCCCGTACCAATACCGTGCCCCGGCGGGGTTCGGACACGCCATGGCTCCTCCTCATTATCACGGCCGCCCCGCCCAAGGTCATTCTGCCCTCCCCAAAGCCACTCGTTATCAATCACATCATGCTTCCCATCATCGCCCCCCTTGCCTCACCATCCTCCCCCTCGTCAGCCGCAGCATCCACGTTCTCATCCTCCTGCCCCCGATCCTCCCCGCCCTCCCCGCCCCCCCCTCCTCCTCCTCCTCCTCCTCCTCCTCCCCCCTCCTCCTCCTCCCCCTCATATTCCCCATCTTGTTCCTACCTTTTCCCCCTCATCCCCCCTTCATCCGCCCCTCATCCTCCGCCCGATCCTCCGGGTCCTCTTGGTCCTCCTCCTCCTACTCCTCTCTCCTGTTCCTCCTTCCTCCTGGCCCTCCGTTTCCTCGACCTGGCTCTCCTCCTCCTCCTCCTCTTCTTCCTCCTCCACATCCTCCTCCCGGCTCTCCTCATCCACCTCCTCCTCCTCCTCCTCTCCCATTCCTCTTCCTCCTCCTCCTCCTCCCCCACATTCTCCTCCACCTCCTCCTCCTCCTACCTTCAATCCCTGACCTTCCATGCTTCCGAAAACAGTTTGAAGTAGGTTTGAAATAGGTTTGAAGTAGGTTTGAAGTAGGTTCGAAGTAGGTTTGAAGTAGGTTTGAAGTAGGTTTGAAGTAGGTTTGAAGTAGGTTTGAAGTAGGTTTGAAGTAGGTTTGAAACCTACTTTGAGGCCTCCGAAACCTACTTTGAGGCTCCTAAAACCTATTTTGAAGCCTCCGAAACCTACTTTGCGCTACCGAAAACCTACTTTTGGAATCCGGAAACCTTCTTTGGAACCTACTTTGCAAAAACAAATTCTGCAAACCTACTTTCCGACCTACTTTGGGGGCGCGGTTCCTTGAAACATCAGCACACGCTTGCCCGAGCCTTTCCCAGAAGTCGCCCCCGGGGGCGGCGCGCCAAAAAAGGAATCTGCGAAGTACCCCCAGAAGGTGAGCAAACCCAAAACACTTGTAGGTTGCCCCCGACAGGCGGGAGCCCCCCAAAGGGGGCGGTCTCCCCCCCCCCCCGAGGGTCGAGGATCGAGCGCGATTTCGCTGTCGGGCGACAAGCGAACGTACCGCGACAGGACAGGGCCTTTTGGCAGCCCCCCCGCTGGCGGGCAGGGGGCCGCCGCCTGGCGCCCTAGGTTCTTCAGAAACCAAACCTGATGCGGCCGCCCCCCGCCCCCCGGGGCCCCTCCGGGCCCGGCCCGACGGAGGCGCCGCTCCCCTTCCGTTTCTCTTTCCTCCTCCCACCTCTCTCCACCTCCTCTCCTCTTTCACGCGCCCTCATTATTCCAGCCTCCCTCCACCTCCTCCCCCCGGAAACGCCACCTCCCCCCTACCCGCCTTCTGGAGCCCCCCACCCTCCCGTTTCTGACCTTCTTAACCTTCCTGGTCCTCCCTCTCGCCCCCCCCCCCTCTCCCTTGCTCGGGCCCGCGGCCCTCGCCCCGCCCTCCATGCCCCACTTCCCGCTGTGGTCAGACCAAGGGGGAAACGCAATGCCCCCAGATCTCAGGACGGAGGTGGTTTAGAGCGCTTCCTGTTCCAACAACCCCCAGTCTTCCCTTCGGGGATGGATGCGCCCCTCCCCCCCCCTCCTTCCGGGGCCTGCAATGGGGGGCGGCGGATCGGTGGAGCGCCCGGGACGGTCAAAGATAGAGCCGGCATGACCTCGCAGAATGCAACGCGGTCTCACAGATGGTTCAAGATAGCCCAAGATGGATCAACATTGTTTCCCGCATGCTCCAAGAAACCCAAATACCGCTCCGAGACCGCCCCAAGCGGCCGCGGAGCCACCCAATAACACCCCCGAGAAGCCGAAATCTTTCCAAATCGTACGAGACACGAATGAATTGGGCCTTTTGGTCCATGCGCTTCCGAAGACTTTGGAAGCCTGAAGATAAGCCCCGAAGGAGTCCAGAAGAACCCAAGACAGCGCACTTCACGAATTACTCGGCTGGCTTGCTAGCAGAAGCCGCGCCTTGCCGGCGGCATTCCAGCATTTCCCCGAGAAGCTTGTTTGGAAAATATCATTACTGACCCGATCCCGACAAGTTACTTTTGATATTGTGTTCCCGACAACCTTTCCTGGAAAGCTACTTTTGCACATGAATGTCGCATTCCTTTCCCCTGAAAGTTTCTCGCGGCAATCGGTTTCGCCATCCTTTCCCTTCGAGTTACCTGCGCCGACCACTGTTGCCAGGCGCGCTGCAGACCTACTTCGCCGACCTACTTCAGGAGCTACTCTAAACCTACTTCATTTGTTTTGCGCCTCAAACAAGCCCTGCATTCAAAGGGAAGTCTCGGAGTTAGCACAGATTCGCTTCAAACCAATCATCGCCTAGAACAGGCCCCCCCGGAACTTTACCAGGAAACAAAACTCAGACTCGAAACTAACGAGAATTTTAAGGCGTTCGGGAACGGGACCGAAACTAGAACAGATAAATATCCCCGACACCGCGCGTCCCAGGACACAAACCTTGTCTGACAAGACTGTGAAACCACCGGCGGTCGCGACAGCGACATATATCTCCTTAGTTATTTTCAGCAGCCAGGCGATCGGTCGACCTCGCCTGGCAAACAAGTCCGCGCCTCCGAAGGCGCTCAGCAAGTCGTGCTTCTCGAAGCACCTCAGCAAGTGCGGCGTCGCCGCCATGTCGCCATAGGCGTGGGCCCCCCTCGTCGCAACGATCAGCTGAAGAATGCCCCGTGGGCGTACTCGGGCAGTGGCTGGAACCTCGGCTGTGCCAGGTCCAGGTTGTAGCGCGTCGGAGCCTGGCAGCACATGTCGCGCGTCTTCTTCTGCTTGACCGGCTTCGTGCTCGTCCCTGTCGTGGTGGTCTCCGCCGTCGTCGGTCTGGTCGGGACTGGTCCCGTCTCTGGCTCCAGCGTCTTGTAGTCTGCGCTCGTCGTCTTGCTCATCAGGTGCATCCACCACACCCCTGCGCAGAACCCACAGCCGAACGCCAGGATGAGGCATATCACGATGCCGAGCATGAGCAGCTGCGTGATCAGGTCGCTCCAGTCGTCGGGCGCCGGCGTGTTGAACAGCTCAACGCCGCTGGGCGTGTGCTCCATCAACTCTCCGGCTGCACTCGATGCTCCGCTCCCTGCCAAGGTTGCCGCCAACCTCGCACCACTCGCGCCAAAATGGCGCTTCCTCTGTTTGGGCTTCTCCTTTGGCTTCGCCTCGAACTCGTCCGCCAGGTCATCTCTAGCCTGGTCCAGCTCCTTCTCGCGCTGCTCCATCGCGCGCTTGGTCAGCTTCTTCCCGGCCACGAAATTCGGGTCGTACCGTAGAGCGTGAACTCCACGGCGCAGCACGTCCGCCATCTGCTGGCGTGCGGAGAGCTTCGTCAACCCGTCCGCCATCTGCTGCTGGGTGTTCACCCACTTCCACACTGCGCCGATCTCTTCCATCTGCTCGTTCACGATATTCACCTCGATGGCCGTCCGCTTCTCCGTGATGCCCAGTCCTGCCGTGGCTGACCTTGAGGCGTCGTAGAGACACTTCGCGTCCGTGATAAACGGCGACTCTCCGAGGTACAGCATCGCTTGGTCTGGCTTGAATTCTGGCCGCAAACTCAGCGTCAGGTAGATCTTCACCCACATCAGAGAGTCCACGCCTAGCGCAGCTGCCTGCGCCTCCGCGGACAGCGAGCTCCTGCACAGCCGCACGAGCTTCTTCGAGGCCCACTCCATCCCCACGAACGGTGTCGGGTTGCCGTTTCGCAGGTCGTCCGTCGTCGGGTCCAACGAAGATCGTATAGCCACCCTGCGAGCTCCCGTCCAGGCGGCTTGCCCAACTCGCGTCGGAGTAGACTCCCACGCGCAGCTCGCCCCAGGCCTTGTCGAACCCGAAGTAGAGTCCCACGTCCGCGTTGGCCTTCAGAAAGCGCAGGTCCTTGTTCGCGTCAAGGAGGTCCTGCACCGTAGCACTTCCCGTGGCCGCTGCCCTGAAAGAAACAGTCGCTGCGGCTATCATCACTCCTTGAGCCGAGGGCCACTGCAGCTGACCGTTCAGGGTCCTGAAACTGGTGAGCTCCTTCGGCGTCAGCGCGCTCGTCGGGTCTGCCCGACGGTGCTTCTCGATGGTGATGGGCTTCACCGCGTGCAGGTAATTCTCGAACTTCAGGGTCACCGCGTAGGTGCTGAGAGACTGCTCTACCTCGCCGCCGGTGAAGATCAGGCTCGGCCCGAAGCCCCACTTGCCGAACGTGAGCTTCTGGTTCAGCTCGCCTGGAAGCACTCCGAGTTGTCCAGCATGGTGTGCAGGTCGTCCTCGCAGTTGACTCCCTCGCCGCATCCGATGAAGTCGTCCACGTGCTTGCCGATCAGGCCGTCCACCACGTAGGTCTGGTCCTCGAAGCTGCACGCGTCGAACGGGTCGTCCTCGACCTTCGTCGGGCGCAGGGGCAGCAAGAGGCAGTCCTCGAGCCAGTGGTTCCTGAACCCGATCTCATTCGTGACTTCGTCGGAGCGGTAGTGCCAAAGCTTCGGCGACCTCGGGTCTCCGAAACATGGCTTGATCATCTTCAGCAGCTGTCCAGGTTGCAGGCCGATCTGCTGAGAGAGCATCTCCCTCATCTCCTTCGTCGGGCACGCGCGCAGCTTGAGTCCGCGTACGCTCACGTCCTCCGCCTGCAGGAATGCGGACTTCACATCCACCGTGAACAACCTCCACTTCCGTAGGGACGCCCAGAGCATGACCGTGTGCTGGCCCAGTCTGCTCAAGGTCGGCGCCTCCTTGTCGAGCTGGCCCTCGGCGACGTCGCGATGCTTGAACCCCTGGTACAGCACACGCGCGTTAGCCACCTTCTGTCCGTCTTTCATCTTCCACTTCAGCAAGAACCGCAGCGGACAGCAGGCTGCTGGGTCCACGTCTTCCTCGTTAGTGGGCTCCCAGCCGTCGTTCTGGTTGAACACCTCGAGGGCCTCCAGCTTCGCTGCGTCGAACTGTTCCTTGTCCTCGGGCGTCAGCTTCCCCTCCACGATGGCGGGGGCTTTCCGCTTGAAGGCCAGCATGTAGACCGTCTCAGTGGACTCCTCCAACGATAGCATCTCGTCTACTTCTTCGAGCAGCGTGGCGCGCTCGTCAGGAGGGTTCAGCTTGGCCCACGTCAAGCGGGCTCGCTTCGATAGCGGCGCGCCGTCCAGCTTCTCGGCCTCCTCTACGCTCCCCTTAGCCATCGTCTCGATGTAGAGCCGGCTGGGCTCTGGCGCTGCATGGCTCGATGCACTTCCGCTCGCGGCGGCGCCGGCATCAGCCGCTGGGGAACGTGGTGAGTCTCGATCAACTGCTTCCACGCCACCAGGATCGCGAGGCTGAGCCTCTCCGGGAGCTGCCGCTGCAGCTGCCCCCGACGCCTCGCCGGGCTCCTCCGCGTCTGTCTCCTGGACGTCGGGCCCCCGCGCCTGCGGCTGGTTCCCCATGTCGTCCAGGTTGTCGTCGTACTGGGGCGTCTGCCCCTCCTCCGCCAGGTCCCTGTAGTTGCAAGTGCCCTTCGTCCGCTTCAACGCGCGGCGCAGCTTCTCGATCAAGCTGAGCGGGCTGTCGGGGTCGTCCCTGCGGCCCTCGCGCTCGCGGGCCTCGCCTGGCAGCTCGGGTCGTAGCTGCTCGACCGTGCACCTGTAGATCACGCGCCCGTGTGTGGCCCAGACCACTGAGGTGTGCATCACGTCGTCCTCGTTGGGCTTCGCCTCCACGGCCACCACCAGCGCGGGGCCGAACCAGTGGCGCTTCTCCAGGCCGCGCGAAGGCTCAGGTCTCCAAATGTAGACCCACTCGCCAACCTCGTATCCTCGGCGGGTCGGCCTGCTGCGGGCCAGCAGGGCTGCGCGCACGGCGCGCGAGCAGTTGGCCTCGATGAAGGCCGTGCCGGCAGCGACACGCCGCAGCATCATCTCGTGCACCTCGCTCCTCGGGTCGACCAGCGCGGACTGCTCGGCCAGGCCGAAGTCCTCGTCGGAGAGGGCGCCCGGCACGCGGGGCTGAGTCCCCAGCACCAGCATGGCGGGTGAGAACCCGTGCACGTTCCGCAGTAGGTTGCGCTGGCTGGCCGTCATCCTAAGGGCTGTCTTGAGCGAGTCGTCGGGGAACTGCATGTGGTACTTGCTCAGCTGCTCCCTCCGAACCGCGTGGTTCCGCTCCATCAAGCCCAGCTTGTGGTGCGCGCCCTTCGGTATCAGGTCGAGCTTGATGTCGTGCTTGCTCATCCAGGAGTGCATCTTCTTGGGCGTGTGCGAACCGCCCATGTCCATGCGCATCGTCTCGGGCTTGCCGGCCCAGCTGATCCAGAGCTTCTCGAAGAGCTTCTTCTCCTTCTTGAAAGTCTCCTTCGCGATGGGGTAGTCGACCTCGTAGCGCGTGAACTCGTCCATCATCGCTAGGATCTTCCGCTCCTTCGTCTTCCAGGTGACGTAGTACACGTCAGTGCTGACCACCTCGTTGAAGCGCTTGGCCTTCGGGAGCACGGCCACGCGCACGGTGCGCGGTCGCTGTCTCTTGAGGCAGATCTCGCACTGATAGAGCCTGGCGCACTGGACCCACTCTGCTGGGGCACCTGCGTGTCGCATGGCGTTGGCCAGCGCCGCTTTCGAGGGGTGCCCCAGGCTGACGCGCGCGCTTGGCCGCACGGATGGTCGAGACGTTGAAGCGCTTCATCAGCTCCTGCATTACGTCTGTGTACTCGATTGCGTCGATGTCCCTGTGCACTTCCTCGGCTGTGTAAATCTCGTCGATGTCGGCGGCCATGCCCGGGTAGGCAATCAGGTAAGCCATCCGTCGAGCCATCGGTGCGGGGTAGTTCTGAGCCTGCTGGGCGAGCTTGCCGCGTAGTGTCACGCGCTCGCCCCGGCACTCGCACCTCAGACCCATGTGATCGACGAACTCCTTGTTAGTGGACTGCAATCGCGTCGGCTTCTGGTACGGCATGTCCACTCCCTTGATGGGGAACTTGGCTCCCAGGCGGCGCTGGTCCAGCCGGCAGTGGTGGCCCGGCAGTGCCTTCCACGTCTTGGTGCTCCAGTGCGCTCCTGACCATGGGCCTTCCACATAGGCGTGTCGGCCTCCATTCGGCTGCATCACGAACGAGTCACGGACCAAATTCAGAAACGTCTTCTCCTCGCGTACCCGCGCCTCGTGGATCTCCGCGGCGTGCTCTGCTGAGAGCGAGGCGTTCACGCACTGCCACGAGCGCCATACCTTGCACGGGGGTGCGAAGAAAATGTCGTCTGGTCTCTCGACGTCGATCTTCCTCAAGAACGCCTTAATCACCTTCGGCTTGGAGAAGTCCCAGCCGTCCTCGAGGCGGAACTGCATGACGTCCACCATGGGGTACTCGAGTAGCGCCTGCGACAGACCTCCTGCGTCCACGAATACCTCCCAAACCTTACGCGGCGGGGGTCCTCGGAGCATCTCCTTCATACCGTCGTGTGCCTGCGCGAGGGCCAGGGCCAGGTCGGTGTAGGTGTCGGGGTCCATCGTGCTCGGTCTAGCGCTCTCGCTCGAACCCGCAACCGGAAACTCCTGGGTCCACTCACTTCCCACGTCGTCATTGTCACTGATGTCGTAAAACTCGGTGACCGTCTCGAGGTAGTACGCGTCGGGGTCCACGTCGGACGATTCAGAATCGTCCTCGGACTCGCTCGGCGGTGCCTCGGACTCGTTGTCGGTCGAGTCGTCGCTGCTGGGCTCGCCCTCGGTCGGCGCGCCCTCGTTCGTCGCGTCGTCGGTGGCCCTGCCGGCGCCACCCAGCAGGTCGACGATGAAGTGCCCCTTCTCGTCTCGCTCGGACTTCATCCAGCCTGTGTCGGGGAGGTCCTTCATCATAAACGTGCCGGCGCGATAGTCCTGGACCAAACGCCACTCCTCCATGCGCGGACGGGCGATGAGCAGCGGCGCCCACCCCTCGACGAGGTGGATCGTGATCTGCTTCTTGACGCCGAACGGCCACGCGTTCAAGGTCACGGACCGCTTTGGCCTCCAGCGTCTTGCCGTCTCCGAATCGAAATCGTCGGTCGCTCTTGCCGTACTCGACCTCGCGCAGCAGCTGGCGTGAACCCAGCAGCTCCTCCCACTGCGCCCAGATCTTGTCGCCCATGACGGGTCGCGTCGCGCCGCCGTCGCTGATGCCCTTGCCAGTCGACATCAGGTACACCTCCTCGGTCGAGTTAGCGTACTCTAGCGTCTCCACGTCTTCTACCATGGCGGCGTGCTCCGAGTCGGGCTTCACGAAACCTCCTCCGCGGAATCGCTTGAACCTCCGAGCCAGTAGCGGTCGATCCTGCCGGCGTCGCCGACGGGGGCTTGTTGAAGATGTTCACCTTCGGCCTGAACATCTGGCGCGAGCCGGTGCCCTTGCCTTTGCCCTTGCCTTTGCCGCGGCCCTTGCCCTTGCCGCCCGTCGGCTTGGCAGAGCGCGACGCGCCCTTGCCGTGCTGAAAGTTGTCGTCGGGCGCGACAGCGACGATCGGGTAGAAACCTCTCGACTTGGCGATCTCCGCCACGCGCCTCTTCGCACCCGCGAAACTGAGGTAGGCCTCGTCGCACGCGATCTGGGCTTCTTCCACGTCCTGCGGGAGCTCCTCGGCGACGTCGGCCTCTTCCTCGTACTCTTCAGCGTCGTACTCCTCGTACTCGTCGCAATCGTATTCTTCCTCCTCCAGGCATGAGTCTTCGTAGCTCAGGCCTCGCTCCCACTCGTAGTCGTTCGCGTAGTGCACGGTGCACGTCGCCCTTATAACCCTGCCCGACCAGCATCTTTTCAACTCGCTTCACGTCGCGCTTGCCGGGCACGGCTTCGGCTCCATATGTATCGAGTAGGGCCTTCTTCACACTAGTCCAACTGAAACCATTGGCACATTGACTTCGTACCTGGGCGGCGCCCGAAGGTGGGGCGGCCGCTCGTGAGGGGAGGTGCCAGCCCGCCAGCATGTCGGGAATCTCCATGCCGACCTCCTTGAGCTTCCTCAGCTCTCGCTTGTGGCGCAAGCAGTAGAGCTTCATCGTCTCCTTATCCTGGCGAGCGAACTTGCCGAAAAACTGATCTGTGCGCGCTGGCAGCTCGGTCTGGTTATCGTACTTGCAGTACTCGTCGAGCACCTGGAACAGCGGCTTGAAGGCGCCCTCGGTCTCCAGCTGATCCAGGTCGATGTCTTCCGTAGCCTCCGCGGCTTCACCCTGCAGCGAGTTCATGATCAAGAACGCGCCCTCGCTGACCGCGGTGGCGCCGCGCTTCCTGCAGCAGCGCTCGAAGACCTCCAGCTTTCGGCGAAAGACTCTGTAGCCGTCGGTCTTGAGCAGCTCGTATGTCGGCGCCGTCTTTGACAGGCCTGCGTCAAGGCCTCTGCCCCCGCCGTCCCAGGCGGAACTCGCACTCTGCCACCAGTCGTTCCAGTCCCCGCCGTCGGCGTAGTGGCCCTCCACGGTGCTGTCGGGAGAGGGCGGGGCTCTGGGCGTCTCCGCTGTCGGGGCGCTGCCGGCGGCAGCTCCTGCAGCGGCGGCCGCTGCGGCCGCGGCGTCGGGCGCCCTCGCGGGCGGCGGTGACGCCGGAGTGGCCCGCGGCCTCGGCGGACCCCGCGGGCGCGGGTCCGCTGGCATGGCGGCGGCGGTGGGGAGCCGGAGTGTGGATCTCCGGCTCCGCTACCAATATCAACCGATGGTAGCGCGCGAAGTCTACTCGGGATTGTTCGAAAAGAATTGATAATCTTGATTATCGGCCGTATGAAACGTAACGCAACCTTTTACCTGGCTCAGGGGCCCCTGAACATCAAACGGCGATGGTACATGGCAATCGTATTGCAACGCTGCAAGCAATACTTCACATCTGTGCTAATCTGCATACACACTGATAAGAATAAACACTACACAAATTCGATAGAACAGGGGTGATATCGACAGAGAGGGCCTTTAGCTGAGCATCGATCGCCTCGGCCCCCTCCTCGCCCCCCTCCTCCTTTCTCCCTCGTAGCTCGACGCGCTGACGCAGCAGGTTTCGGCGGCGCTCACAGTCCCCCCCATGCCCTGCTCGTCTCTGAGTGTCCCCCGAGAAGTGCACCTGCCCCGCCCGAACCAAGGCTCCCTCCAATATCTCAAATATCTCATATGTGGACGCGTACTCACGGAGATAAAGGGACTCCTGCCCCCACCAGCTCCTCATTGACGGTCTTTATCAATTCCCATTTCCCCCTCCCTGATCTGAACCCCATCCATCATGCCATCATAATTCCAACGGATCCTATCATCAGCAGGACGGATCAATCCACCTTTATTGAACTCCATACTGAGCACCACAGGCAGATGATCCCGAGGAGGGGCTCCCCTGATAGGCTGCAATTTAGTTCCTAGTCGACGTAATGGATGGCAATGCCGAGTAAGATGTGCTAACCCTTGTGGATAACAGACAAAATCAATGCAGTTCGAAAAAGTATTCCCGAAAAAGGTGTGTTCGGCCCTCTGTTGCGCATTCCCCGCGATCATATGGTGTTTCTCTAGCAGCCCACGGAGTCGCTCACCCGCCCACCAGGAAGACGCTCGAGCGTGTCAGCGTTCACCACGCCCGCTGGTATCTTCTGATCCATTCCCTGCCTGAACCTTCCTCCCATCCCATCATGTACATCCGAGTAGAGGAAAAGAACGCATCGGGCGGGTAGGTCACAGATCACCGAGTCCAGCCACTCTATCAGGACCGACAGTGTCTTATAATCCGCAGTACGGGCGGCCTTACTCCCTTTAGCAGGTATGGGCGGGAAATAAACGCTGATAGCGCAAAAATCGGCGGGCCCGTGTTTGACTCGGACGGCGAGTGCACGGCCAACAGCATCTGCAGGGCTCCCCCAAATTCTCTTTATATCATTTTCGACGTAGTGGGGGCCCAGCGCTATCAATATTCCACAATGATGGGGTGGAGAGAGGGGCCGTGGCCTGGTGGGGGGGCTCGAAGGCCAACCTGCCGCCGCGCCGCTCCCGCAGCGCCTGGGCGCCGCGCAACGGAGTCCCTCCCCTCGTCCCTGCAAGGAGCAATATGTGGAAATTGCGAGTCTCCTCCAGTATTTCCAAAAGGCGATCTCCCGTGTCAAACATGGGGTTGTAGCCCAGGATCCGAAGAAGTGTCGACATGAGAACAACCACACCGACACCCATCCGATCGCGCGACGAGGCAAGGCGAGACAGGTCGAAACGAAGTTTCGATACCGAGGCCAGGCCAGCCCTGGTCAGCCGTGTGCCTGTGCCATCATGGGCTTGGAGGAGGAGGAGGAGGAGGAGGAGGAGGAGGAGGAGGAGGAGGAGGAGGAGGAGGAGGAGGAGGAGAAGGAGGGGGGAGGAGGAGGGGGAGGAGGAGGGGGAGGAGAGGAGGAGGAGGAGGAGGAGGCGGAGGAGGCGGAGGAGGAGGCCGAATCCTTTTCCGAAGCGGAGCTCTCGTGTGGGCGGCAGGCCGACGAGGCGCTCGCCCTTCACGGGGGGGGCGCCTCCCCGCGAAAGAACAAGGGGCGCCCGAGGAGTCCTGCGACGGGACGGTGTGTTGCAGAATTTCTAGATGCATCCTGGGGTATATTTGCTCCTCCTCCTCCTCCTCCCCCTCCTCCTCCAGCTCCTGCTCCTCTTGCTCCTCTTGCTCCTCCTCCTCCTCTTCCTCCCCTTGCTCCTCTTCTTCCTCCTCCTCCTGCTCCTCTCTTTGTTTGTTCTTTCTCTCTCTCTGTGTCTCTCTCTCTGTCTCTCTATCACTGTCTCCTTTTCTCTGTCTGTCTCTCTCTCTCTCTCTCTCGCAGTGGCTTCGGCCGTCCCCTGCGCCCCCGCCGGCGAAGCCCGCGCCGCTTTCGCGGCTCGGCGCCTGGGGCCCAGTCGCGCCCTTGTCGAGGGAGGCGGGAGGAGGGAAAGCCACCCAACTCCATTATGATCATGAGGCCTACCGAAAAAGAGGGATGAGGATGAACGGCCGGGCCGCTCATAGGATGCCGTCGCAGTTGCGGATGGCGTAGTACCTTGCATGTGCTGACGTACGTGGCGTACCTGGTCGGTAGCGCTGTAGACGAGATAGCGTAGTAGACTTTGGGTTGAGAGCGATACAGTTTTACCTGGAATGGTCCAGCTTAACGTTGGCCGTTCTCACATCACACTGGAAGCAATACTACATACTCCATTTCAGAAAAAAGTGGGCGGCGGAGAAAACAACTGAAACTGTAACTGACGTATCGAAAGAAACGGCGGCAAGGCGAACCAACGAATTAAAATCAGTTGGAACTCCCCGTAAAAATTTGGCGGCGAATCGTCTTGTGACCAGTGCGGAATTATTCACGCGGGCTGCGTTTTGCAATCCGTTGGAAAAACTACAACGAACATAACAACACATAATATCTTAGGCGGGCGTGGGACTCTCCCGAGAAATATTTGCAATTCTATTTCTCAAAAAAAAAGCGCACCGCGTGACGCGGAAGTGCGATGTTTTCAATTCCCAACCAGACGAAACATTTCAACCCGCCCGCGGGCGCAACCGTAATCGCAACTAGGCAACAATAAAATGGCGGCGGGCTCGCCGGCCAAAATCAATTCAAAATGGCGGCGGCGGTGGGGGCGCCCCCCAGTCAGTACTGCCGTGAGCACCGAAGAAACCGTAGTGATGTTCTCACCATCATCATCGTGCGAGTGCCACACGAAGAGCATGTGGTAGTTCCTGTACGGCAGGAAGCAGGCCTCTCATATGGCGGTGCGCAATGGCGATGCGCTGTTTGTACTCATCGTGCGAGACGGCCGCCTCGTGGACGGCCTCGATGGTGCAGATCCGCAACTGGTGTTCTCTGCCCCACGTGTCCCGGTAGTCGGCTGCGAGACTGCGTGGGTATCGTGGTCGAGGCTCTTCTGGTGGCTCTCGCAGTTCAGTCGGTTGCCCTCGAAGCTCGGGTGGCCCTCGGAACTTTGCAGGTCGCCCTCGCGTCTCC